GAATATGATGTCGGGTATATATTGCAGCTGCAGATTCGAATACGAAGCTAGACAGGTACTTGATGATTGCAGCCAGTGGAGGCTTAAATCAACAAAGAATAGGGGTAACTAACTAAACTAGTCTTTTTATTAAGTCTCAAAAACTCGAATTTCACCAAAAATGGAGTTTTTTGTTAAAGTACTCGACATCTTTCTTAATGTGGTCTTTAGATAATCGATGCTGTTGTTGCCGCGTATATCTTGAATGCTACCTTAATCGTGCCGAAGTTGGATCAAGAATCTTTCTGGAATGATTCTAGGTAGTTTTTGCTACATTTTTTCCCGAAAAAGAAAAAAAAAAGATTGCTAATTGATTAGTAATAACCTTTTGGGGTTCGTCGTGTAGCAAATTTTCGGATATCTATGATGTAGACTGGTTCGTGAAGTACCTGTCGAAAGAGGTGAAGATTATAAAAGAACTCCCTGATGAAAAGTCATGGAAAGTCGTAACAACTCGTGTACCTAGAAAATGCAATCCGAAATGCTATCTATCTCGTGTTTTGCCCATGTTTCAAACGAAGAAGGTTCTTTTATTCATGTCTTGAAAGTTGAAACTCGAAAGTCGTCTTATTTATTTATTTATTCTTTTTGTGGAATTTAAGGAAAACCCGGTTCTTGTTTCCTCTTGTGTAGGCCGTTGAGCTTACGAAGTTCGATTATAGGCTCGCTAATTGGCTCGACGAGGATCTGCAGAAACTCCGTTGTAGGGTTAACTATCATGCTTTGAGGTTTAACAATCCCATTTTCAAGATGGGAAAGAAATTAGTCGAGCGGATGAGAATGAAGAGCAAGCGCTTCGTGGCACTACATTTAAGGTGACAAAATTGCTGCTAATAAGTAAATCTCTAACAAACACTTAAAAAAACATTCACCCTTTTTTATCATTTATTAGCCCAAAAATAAGTTTTCGAAACAATAGGTACGAACCGGACATGCTTGCCTTCTCGGGATGCTATTACGGTGGAGGAGAAAAGGAAATAAACGAACTATCTGCGCTTCGTAAGAGATGGAAAACTTTACGTGTAAGTCCAAAACGAGCTCTTTCTTTTT